ATACAAAGAGTTCCTAGAGCATTATGTTTGGTGAAACAAATAAAAAAATGGACACCAAGAAAGAAAAGAGAGGTTATTGTCTATGTAGTTAATGCAAAATCTTCTAAAGGAGAAAGGTTTTACTTGAGGCTCCTACTAAGCAACACCCCCGATCCAACATCATTTAAAAATTTGCTAACTATTGATGGAATAAAATGTTCTACCTTTAAAAAGTCAATTGAGAAAAGACACTTATTAAAGTCAGACCAAAGTTTATCAGAATGTCTACATGAAGCATTATTGTTCCGTATGCCAACAACAATGCGATGGCTTTTTGCAATAATTTTAATCTTCTGTGAAGCAACTAATGTCAACAAGTTGTGGGATGACTACTTTGACTCATTATTATAAGATTTTTAAAGAATAAACCCATATTGCCATGAATATCATATCATGAGCATGCTCAAAGCATTAACAATTTCCTACAAAACATACACGAACATTATTGACTATGACATCCCAACAATATATGACATAGAAAATAATAATTGTTATGAAAAAACAAAAGTGATTGAAGAAGAAATGGAAATTAAGACTCCTAAAGAAGATTCAATTTCACCATCACGACTAAATCCAGAACAGGAAAAGTCTTACAAAACAATTATACATCATGTGGAGACAAAAAGTCCAAGAGCATTTTTCATAGATGGCCCAGGAGGTACAGGAAAAATTTAGCTATATCATGTATTGCTAACAACAATTGGACCAAACAAAGGAATTGCTTTAGCAACTACATCTGGTGTTGCTGCAACAGTAATACTTGGAGGATGAACAACACATTCTAGATTCAAAATTCCTATTAATGCCACTGGCTCTAGCATATGTAACAAACCAAAACAAAGTGGCACAACAAATCTACTATGAAGGGTAAATCTAATCATATGGGATGAGGCACCAATGGCAAATTGAAAAGCAATTAAAACTTTGGGTAGAACTCTTAAAGACATTTTGAACAATGAATTACCATTTGGAGGAAAAGTTATTGTATTCGGGGGAGATTTTTGATAAATCCTACCTGTTGTCGAGGAACAAGATTAAAAATAATTGATGCAAGCCTTGTAAAATAATACCTTTGGCCACGTGTGGAAAAATTTCAACTCAATGAATATGAGGGTCATCTCAGATCCATTATTCAATGAATTCTTGATGACTGTTGGAAATGGAACTAAACCAATGGCACAATGTGATATGATTGAAATCATAGGAGAGATGGTTATTAAAAACAAAAATGACGAAACGAATCAAACAGAGTTGATACACCAAGTATTTGCATCACTGAAGGAGAATGGCAATTCACCTGATTACATAATAAAACGTACAATCTTGGCCACAAAGAATGAGTAGTAAATTTATTGATTGAGAAGTTGATCGAAAAGTTCCTAGGAGAGATGATTACCTACTACAGTTATGACTCAAAAAAAGATGACACAAATAATTACTACCCCATTAAGTTCTTAAATTTTATAACTCCTAACGGCTTACCACCACATCGACTCAGTTTAAAAGTGAATTGCCCTATCATCCTTCTTTGAAACATGGATCCACCCATTGGTTTATGCAATGGCACAGTAATGGTTTGCAAGAGTTTTCAATGCAATGTCATGCACGCATAAATTGTTACAAGACAATATGCTGAAAAATAAGTTTTTCTTCCCCGTATACCACTCTCACCATCTAAGGATGAAGGTTTCCCATTTAAACTCAAATGGCAGCAGTTTCTGATCCATTTGAGCTTTACAATGATAATAAATAAAAATCAAGGCTAGACAACCTCACATATAGGCATTTATCTTTTAGAACATGTCTTCTCACATGGACAAGTATACGTTGCTTTGTCAAAAGGAATATCCTCTTCAACAACAAAACTACTCATAAAGTTGAACAATCAAATAACAAGAGATAAACTTTCACAAAGAATATAGTGTATAAAGAAATTTTAACCACATATGAATGTACATCAAAGATATAGTAAGTTTGGCTCCTACTTTTGCAAGTATGATCATTAATGGCATGACTCTCTAATAGAAAATTCTCATGGAAGATATTTCTATCTTCTTATCTAACATATTTTATATGTTTGTATGGAATGGATAAGAAACCTGATTATGTCTTCATAAATTCACTATTAGAAGAAGATACAAATTGGACTATAAAAGCGTTCATCTTATACAAAGAAGCGATGGATAGTTATAAGAAATACAGAGGAATTGGAAAGAAATTTTGGACCATACTACTTGACAAAGAAGTATCCATACCTACCTCATACTTCCTAAAAAAAATTGATACTAATAACTAAAATTCTCATCGAACCTCTATAAATCTTGTGTGTGTGTGGTGTTATTTTTTTGAACTTTCTCTTCATATTTGTTGATACTTATTATTCACACTACTATTCTTTAACACACAATCATTACATTATACTAGTAAATATGTACATGCATTTGCACGTGACAGTATAATTCATGGACATGGACAATTTCTGGACAGTTATAAGTGGGCAATTTCTAAAATGAGAGTAAAGGACATGCATGCCTTCTTTATGCCCATTGTATGTTTAGACAAGGGGGTCGGATAGAAAATGTCCAATGAAATCTCTATAGAAAAGGGGCATTCTCTCTTTTATAGGTAGTATAGATATAGATATTATTGCTCTCTATTATTTGGGTATAGCACTCAAACTTTAATAGGTATTAGTTGGAAAGGAAATCTATAGAACCCAATTCGCCCTCTCTAGGGTTAGGCTACTTGGGTCAACATAACTGACATACCTTCATGGAGTTGGATGCTACAAAACATGAGAAGCAATTTCATTTATTGATTCAGCAAGTATACTAATTTATTAATAGGAATCTATTTTTCCAAAATAAAATAAAAAGGTGATCGAAAATTCCACCCATTATAATTGGATCAAATAAATGTAGATTCAACCCAATCCAATCCATGAATTTTTTAAAAAAATTTGCTTAAACTTACATAACATTTATACGTAACTATCAGTAAAATTAGTTTGGAAGTTCTAGGTTTACGCACTTAATTAAAGTGCCATATGCGCAAGTCTTAGAAGATATTTCTGAATCATTTTGTTCATTATATATAACAAAACAACCATTATTTACAAAGGAGAAAAAGAGAATACAAACACAGGGGCGTTCAAGAAAAAAGGCCATCATCCAAACCGACCACTTGAAAAATAGGAGGCAGAAAAACAACTCAAGGCCTCATTATAGTTGGATCCAAAACTGATACAGCGTCATTCTATCGGTCTATTCTCTGACCAGGAGGATTTCAGCTTGCTGATATATTCATAAAGACATTGCCTAAATATCAATTATTCAGGGAGTTGCATTTAAAGTTGGGAGCTTACTCTGCCTCCCTCAACTTGAAGGGGAGTATTGGTGCAGCTGAATTAGCCACATTAAACACTATGACAGCTGGTTTTTAAAATTGAATCAGACAACAAACCGGTCAATTGTCTGGTTCCTGGGCCGAGTGGTTTAATCTTTGAACCAAACAAATGGCCCATTCTGACAAAAAATTAAAAAATTAAAAAATGGCCAAAACTGTTGGATGGTTCAAACGGTTCAATCACCCGGGTCAACAGTTTACTGACCAAATCAACTGTTTTTGGTGAAATAACGGTTCTGAGGTAAAATGGACCGGTTCCCAATTTTTCGGTTCAACCATCCAGTCCAATCCGGTTTTGAGCTGAGTGGTTGTTTTTTTCTATTTTCCTCTTCTTTCTAACTTTTTACTTTCCATTCTTTCAATCTTTTTTCCCCATATTGTAAGATAATCAATTGGACAGGCTCAAGTTTATTTAAATGAATTTACTTTAGCTCTCAAAATCATCAAGAATCTAAGGTTTCATACCAATCTTTAGAAAGTACCCCATAGAAACAAAATAATTATTTTCAATATTTTAATTATGCTAATAAATATGTTGAATGTATTCAGAAGGGAGGCCAATTCAGAGTCGTTTATAGATGTTTTAACCAAAGCATTGACCAATAGCGAAATGAGAGTTTGGAGGTCATTCTACCAAACACCACCATAGAAGTGCTTGATCTTCTTATGGTATTGCATAGTCACATAGAATGATGTTTATGGTCTAATAGAAAATAAGGATGCCCTTGATTTGAGGGAAGATTTGGGTGGGATGGGATGAGAAAGGGAAAATGAGTGGAAATTTTGTACATTCCATTGTTTGTTTGCAAAAGCAAAAAATAGTGGAAAAATCAATGCCAATAACAATTATTAAACAATTAATTAATTAGGTAATTGGTAATATTTTTTATTTGATATTTTATTAATTATTAATTAATATTTTCTTTTTTTCATATTTATTATAGATTAATTATTAATTTTTATTTTGTATTATTCATTGTTTTTAACTAGTTAACGTTTTTTATGGTTTATCTACTAATTAAATGAATAGTAAATCATTTATTAATAACCATTTTGTTGTTAATTTTAATTAATTAATTAATTAATATTTGAATATTTATTATTATTATTGTGCTTTATTATTCCTAATGACTTATTTACTAATTTTAATATTGTATAAGTAATTAATAATTCATAACTATATTATTTTAATTTATTAATATTTTATTAGTTATTAATTAAATTATTTTATTAATATGTTATAAAATATTTACTATTTGCTACTTATAAAATGTTTTATAATTAACTATTAACAGTGATTAATATTTTAACTTTATTACTAATATTTTGTTTTATTAATACTTATTAATGAATTAATAATTTAAATATTTTATAATTAATTAATAATCCATTATTATATTATTTTAATCTACCAGTTATTTATTTTCATTAAATTATTTTATTATGATGAGGTGGGTTGTCCTAAGCTTGGCTTCTATCCGAGATAAGGGGAAAAGATGTCATTGGTAATTCAAACATCTATTATGTAATTATAATCGTAGTAAATTAGATCTTACTTCTATCATTTCTGGGTTATCTTCAACTACACCTTCCTTTGTGAGATTTTTGCCATTGTTGATCATTTCCGATTCAGTAAACCCAGGAGCTGCTATCGTTATTTTAATCTCCGGAGCTAACTCAACTCTCAATGTATCAAAGAAGTTTACCAATGCTGCTTTACTTGCCTGAAATTTCAGTTACCAAAACATAGAAAATAATAATAAAGATGAGAAGAAAAAGAAAAAAAAAGACAAAAAGACAAAAAGACAAAAAGATCAATAGATAGTCTATATGAGAATCCTTACACCATAGGAGCTCGCGTATGGTGTGATAAACCATGATGCTACTGAAGCATTGACAATGATCTTTCCCTTGCTCTTTTTGAGGTGAGGAATTGCAAAATAAGTTGGATAAACGTATCCCCAAAAGTTAGTATCCTATATACAAAACAGGAAAGCACAATGATTAAATTACTAGTTCATCAGATGTCTTCTATATATGAAGAGGAACGTACGAGTATGACCACTAGGTTTTAATTGATTGATTACCATCGCTATTCTGAAATTTGAGAAACCGATCAGGCCATCTTCAAATTTGCAATAACTAGCAATGCCAGCATTACACACCAGATGGTCTACTGTAAATCACAACATTGAAACAAGTTTGAAATCAGTGTCAACCAGTTAATATGCAACTAAGGGAAATTTCCTGATTTAATATCCTTTATTTCATATGATTTTGGTTTTAAATTTTAAAATGAGACAATTCAGTATTCGAATTTTTTATCATCTAAATTATTTTTATAAATCATCCAAATGCCCAAATGCCCAAATCTAATGATGGACAACGATCTTCTCTTAAACGCCAAGTACCGTTTTACCAACTTCAAGAAGATGTTGGGAAGAGTTATACTATTCCTACAGGTGAGACCACCACCAGATTTGTGTTGTGTCTACTTACCTCATAAATTAATTAATTAATGATTGCTGCCGCATGTGACCCCAATGAAATACGAAAATATCAGCTGTGAATTGTAAACCCCCAATAAATTTAATGAACAAATCACATCAGTTTGCACACATTCTTGTCTTTTGCATGGTTTTCGAACGCCGTTGATTTGGACAATTGGACCGTTTAGCTTGGAAACCGTCTAGATAATCGGTTTAGTTTTACTTTAAACCCAGTTTCTGGCTAAAAATCATTGAATCAGTCAATGATCCATTGATCTGAACGATTGATCCGTCAACTCATTCAATGGTTTTTTGTTTTTTTTATTTTTAATTATTTTTTTTTATTTTTTTGTCAAAATGGACCATCCGTTCGAACTGGATAATCGAACCATCAATCCGAAAACCGGTGACTAGAACAATTTCATTTCCGGGTCGTTTTTTAAAACCATGGTCTTCTATACCTCATATACCTTCCAATAAACAATTTCATTTCCGGCTAGAAGACGTCTTCAGTCTTCTCCTTCTCTCTCTTGGTTGATTCCTTTGTTGTTCCAGCAATGGCAGCATCTCTCATTTCACATGCAGCTTGGTTTCTCCTTATTCCTCTCCTAGTCCAAGATCTCATCTCCAGTGCTTATGCTTCCCCATGTAATAGAGCCATAAAGGTTAATATGTCCTCAAGCAGGTCATCCCTGTACGTCCACCCCTCATGGTTTTTGAGCCCATAAACTATATTGTCTTCGCTGCCTGGAGAACCATGGCACCCGCCCTATACATAGCAACCTGTGAGCTAGTTAGAGGGCAGCAGCCAAGCCCAAACCAAGCACCGGCCGGCGGTTGCCTCCACTCCCTGCACCTCGTGCAAGCTGCACTGTTTACCCACGAATAGCTTCCGTTGACGAACCTAGAAGCCCATCATCACACCTTTGCCGCTGGTGTGGAGCTTCTAACCGATCATGGCATCTTAAGTTTCGTTTACGACTTATTGGGTAGATCGGGCGACCCCATTGGTGACAATTCTCAAAGGCTTTTAAGGGCCATCATCGAGATATGGTTGATGGTCAGTACTAGCAAATGCTGTGAGATTATTAGGATCCTTGACTCAGTGTTTTATACGTCTGTTTCATCTTTTAGAGGAAAAAGATAATGAATAATGTTTTATTTTGAAGGATAATTTTGTTATTTTAAAAAATTCTTAAGTCACACATGATTAACGGTCCGTTTAACAACAGGTACTTGATTGGAACGTTTTGAAATTTTGGATACTAAATTGTCGTGATTTAATGTTTTGGGGACCAAATTAAGTGATACTAGGCCCAAAGTACAAAGTAGTAATTAGGAATTTTCCCTAAAAATAATGAAAAGTAGTTTGACTTCTTCAAAAAAATACAATCAATTAATTAATTGGATAGTCCGCACCTGATATGTTAGCATTGGATTTGGATAGAATGTCTTGACAGCATCTATTTATAATCATTGTGTTATTTTATTAACACTATTAAATGTGCATGTGTATTGCACACCTAGATGCAATTTTAGATAATAATGATAATAATATTAGAGATATGTCTAGATTTCTTTTAAACAGTTCTATAATCTTTTATAGTTTTATTTAATTTTAAAATTTTATTATTTAGTTATGATACCATTAGTTGATGCATTTGACATAACACAAAAATTGGATTTATTTTTATATAAATTTTAAATTTTTACTCCATTTTCATTATCAATGAAAACAATTCATTTTTATATAATGTGATGAATATATAATGTCAAGGATGTCCCTTAATTTTTCTATAAGTTTTTTATGTTTTTTATAACTTTTTGTATTTCTATCTATTTTTAATTTTTTATTATTTAACTATGACATTATGAGTTAACATAGACTATTGAATTCCTAAACTATTCCTTGAATGAAAAATATTTTCCTTTCCAAGACAATGTTACTTTTTGTATTCCATTTCCACCATCAATAAAAATAATTCTTATTTATCACACCTATTTTCTTTAATATGACAGATATACAATATTAGAGGTATACCAAATTTCCTATTAATTTTTTTATTTTTATTTTTTTAAATTTTATTATTCAGCTATAGCATAATGGGTTGACCCATTTGACTTGGACAATTGACCCATTTGGTTTTGAATTTTGTATTTCATTACATCACTATAAAAGAAATTCTTGTTTATCACACTTATCTTTTTTAATATGAATTAATATATAATGTTTGAGATGTGTCTAAATTTTTCTATTTTTTAAATATTATTTTACTATGACATCATGGCTTGATCCATTGATTTAAATGGTTGAACCATTGACCCACCACCTACGGAGGATTTGAATGGTCTCATTTATGGATCAATTTTAGACATTGCATTCCATTTTCATCATTAGTAAAAACATATGTATTATTTATTATACTTGTTTTTGTTTAATATGACAAATATATAATATTAAAGATGTGTCTAAAATTTTCTAATTTTTATTTATATGTTTTTATCTATTTTTAAAATTTTTAGTATTTAATTATGGTATTGTGGGTTCATCTGTTTGACCCAAATGGTATAATTAATTATCAATCACCAAGAAGAATCGGTTTCGTTTTTAGATGACTTAAAAATATAAATTTTATATTAAGGTAAATTGTTGAAACATCCCCTAAAGTTTGGTATTTGCAACCATCTCCCCTAAACTTTCTAACATAGTTGCAAGTAGACCCCCTCTACTATAACCCTTTGAAAAGAGGCATGAAAATATCCAAAATACCCACGTAGTTACTATTAAGGTTGGTTTCTACAGAGAAAACTATACAAACTTTATGAAAATGAAGAGAGAGAGAGAGAGAATTTAAAGTTTCAGTTTTACCCTTGAGAAATTGATGTGAAGGGAAAATTTGAAAAATAAATCAATTTCAGAAAAGAGATTGAAAGGATTTGGGGTAGGAATTCGTCATATGTAGATGAAACTTGGAAAATAAGCATTTTCGTCAAATAACTACATGGGTATTTTTGGATACTTTCATGTCTCTTTTTAGAGGATTCTAACGTAGGGTTTCTACTTGCAACTATGTTAGAAGGTTTGGTGAAGGTGATTGCAATTACCAAACTTCAAGAGAGATTTCAGCAATAACCAGAAATTGCAGGGGAAGTTTCAGCAATTTTCCCTTTATCCCCTTATATTATTAATATCAGTATTCATTGATTTAATTAGTGAAATTTAATGATGATAGGGATTTAATGAGAGAGAATGGGAGTTAATGCCTTAAATATGGGTCTTAATGAGGAAATGAAATGTATTAAAAAATAATATTCAAATTACAATTTATACCCTCATCATGGAGAATGATTAAATTCAAGAAGAGGGATAATTTAGTCAAGAAAATTTTCAGAAACCATGGAAAGCTATTCACACTTTTTATAATAATATAAATATAGATTTTTCTGAACTCCTGGACCAATCTTGCCTTGCTTTTTGTCCCACTGACATTAACCTTGCCAACTCAGATAATGAGGCAGACTATACAGCAGGTGGGTGTACTTAACTAGGTGCCAGGTTAAGCCCTAACCCTTACAAAGGGGAACCATTGGCATAGCTCGATCGGCTTCTAAATTCACCCAGCAGGTTCAGTTTATGACAGACAAGATTAATCTCAAACCTTATCCAAACCGGACCCATTGACATCCCTCAGGGAATTAATTATTCAAGTTAAAGAAGGTAGAAGGTATCAAATTTCGCTTGCAATTTAATAGTATTGTTTTTTTTTCTCATACCTAAATAAGCTATATAGTTTTTAGTAGTTGGAATGCACATGCATTTGCACGTGGTAAAATGCATGGGAAAATGAAAAATCATTATGATGCCGGATTTGCACATGCATTTGCACGAATCTGGGTCTCCTAAACTTTATGGCATTGTGCTATTCTGTACACTAATCAATGAGAATTCATCATTCAGGGGTTGGTTTTGATTGGTTACTCTCATGTAAATTTATTCATGAGCCGGTTCAGGCTGAGCTTTGTCTCTATATTAAGAGAATATATTCAGGCTTGAGCCCGAACTTGAGCCCGAGCCCGGCTCAACTATCAGGCCTAGACCTTAAGCCTGAGCCCGGCCTTATATAAAGCCCAAAGCCTAGGCCTAAGCTCAAGTCCTACCAGAAAATTGGAAAAATATTTTTTTTCTTTTTTTATTTAATAAAAAACTGTTTTATTTATATTAAAAGACCTTAAAATCCAAAAAATAATGAAAGATCTCACTATTACTTGACAAAAAAGAAGAATAATAAAGAAACAATATATATATATATATATTACAAAATATATTTTTATTATATAATACATTATCAAGTCGGGTTTGGGCTCAGACCGGGCATTTTTAAGAAAGCCTAAGCCCGGCCCGGCCCAATGTTTTAAGGTTAAACTCAAACCCGTGGACTTGAAATCCTATCCAAACACGACTTAAATCGGGCCAGGCCAGGCCAGTCTGTCTGGCTACCCAGCCCATGAACAGGCCTACTCTCATGTTCAAGATTTTGAATAAGTAGTAACACTCCCTGAAATTTAATGTGTTGTAGTGTCTTAACTATATTGAAAATATCTCAAATGCTCAAGTGATCATATGCTATGCTGGCAATTGCCTTGAAAGAGTTTCAAAGTAAGAAATTGTCATTGAGCTTCAAGTGAATTATTAATTATGGTATAATTCTTGGCAAATAGTCATTGTATTGGAAATATGGTTTTCATATGCTCATTCAAAGCCATATTGTATCTTTGTACTGATTTATTTCAGTGAGAATTTTAAATAGAGGTATTCTATTAATGGTTATATATGTTTGAATGCATTTTTTATTAAAATTATTTTTACCAAATCACGCTTAACTTTGAAGTTCTGATGGAATCTGATACATTATACATTGAAAAGGCCATGTTCAAGTGATGAATGAGAGTTTTCATGACAAATTTGGGTGCCCCAATTCCTTGTAAACTTAGCAAATCTTATCATCTCAACAACCAATGAATACAAATACACCACTGTTTGAATAAAAAAATAGTTGATGTGATATTTTATCTTTTATTTCAACGCTGGCCTATTCTTATTTCATTGGGCATCACTTCAAATTTGGAACAACAGTCGCGTTGTAGCGTATATGGAAAGATTACTTCGATCATATGTGCATTACCCCGAAGTGTTTTTTCATCGTTCTACTTGATTCAGCCAAACTTAAGGTATACTCCTGCTGAATTTTATGTATGTTTTGTTATTCGTAGATATTAATGTGAACGAGCATTCAATGTCTTCAATATATAACGTACTTTGTTGACCCTATTTTGAAAAGAAACAACGAATGAAGCTTAAGAGTTGTATTGTATATATAGGAAATTAGGAATTGAAGGGGGCATAGAGAACTTACACCGGCCAAATCGTCTCACAGTTTCTTGAACAAATCTCTTGCATTCATCAACTTGTGAGACATCTGCTCGAATTTCCAAAACATCCGGGGAACCAAGCTGACCAGCCTTCTTGGCAACTTGTTCAAGCATCTCTTCTCTCCTTGCAACAAGTACTAGAAAAGCTCCCTTCTTAGCATATTCGTAAGCCAGGTGCTGTGAAAAATATCATCAACATCAAGTAATTACACTACACATGCAGTAGTATTCTATAAAATTATGCTTGGATTATTTGAATATTTTGCATGAACCTCGCCTATCCCAGAAGAAGCGCCTGTGATGAGAACCACTTTTCCGGCCATCTTCTCACAGTAGAGAGTCCTAATTATGAAAGAATGGATGAATCTTACAATTGACAAGAAAGGGAGGGCTACTAGTAGAATGATGAGAGCCAGAGGAGCAGACACCATCTTCATCAACAAGTGAACGAACTCCATGACTCCTCAGAGAGAAAGAGAGAGAGATAGAGAGAAGAAGGGGGGAGTAGCTCAGGTCGACGTTCCTGTATCACTTATTTATCATATATAGGCAAAAACAGAAGCCTTATAAGCATTGTATTGTCCTTTGCTACCTAAGTTCTAGATGTATAATAATGAATGATAGACCAATTTACCTGAATAATAATGAGTGGTTAAAGGTGGCAGTTGGTAATTTATCTCGCATTCATAAAGCATCAATGTCAAACTTGGACCAGACATTACACACTTTTGGCCATTGAGTGATGCGTTTTAAAGGTTCAACCATCGGGTCCAATCATTCAATATAAACGAAAATCTCTGGCTAGGCCCAAGACGTGTAGGTCAGTAGAGAAGATGAATGATCTTAATTAGCTAGTGGACCGGATTCGCCACGACCACCTACCTCTCTCTCTCACAACTCTCCTGATTCAATATTCTCTGGGAAGAACTTTCAACTTGTGTTTTTTTCACTTCTTTTTCTTGTATTCAGAGTGGTGTTACTGCTCTTGGTAACCACTCCAAGTGGACTTGAGTTTGCATTTTTATTCTCTAAGATCTCATTTCCTTTTGTATAAAAGCATATATACTGCAATTGTCGAATCCAATGAAATTACTGTGTTAGCCTTCTTGAATTGGTGTGCACATAGAAAAAAATTCTAGTTTTTAAACATTGTGCTTGTACTTGGAATGACTTTTTTAAATAATGCTTTATGTCATGCTCCTACAAGAGTCAGTTTCGTTCTGGGTAAGAGCAAATTCTGGTTAGAGATGGCAACTTGGCCCATAGGAGTTCCGGTCCCCGGGCTTTTTTGACCAGTGATCAGTGTCGCGGTGGGTTTCGGGGAAATCCAACCGTTGACTTCAAAATTAAAAAATAAAAAATAAAAGAAAAAGATTTGCAAGTAGGAATGATCGGGGCCGGGTGGGGCAAACTCGAGGATTTTCTGTCCCTTGTAAGAACCGGGTGCGGTATTTGCATTAGGAATCAGGGATAACCAAGATCCCCCTTCCTATTGCCATTCCTAATATACTCTGGTTAACTTTTGTTGGTTGGGTTCGACTATGATATCGGAAGCATATGATATCAGAAAAATTTTTAACCAATCAACTGGTATTATAAATGTGGTAGTTTGTTATTTATCAAAATTCATCGGTGGGTTTTGATTGGTTAAAACTCTTTCTGATGCAGGCGCACATGGTAGGCCCTAGATTGTGCCACGTGACTTGCTCTCTTGCATTTAGTATCTCGAGAGACTTCTTCTGAGTTCTTAAGGACTAAGCTTCGAGCCCTCGTCTCAAGGTTGGTCTGACCCATCTTTAGCACCTAACTAATTTGACCGTCAGAGTCTCTACCCCTGGGCTAACACCCAGTGCCTTTGACGTGTTCTTTTTTCCTGCTCGCAGGTTGGACCCATCGGCCTTGGACATCAATGAAGTTACCTTGTTTCCCTTGACCCCATCTTTGGCAGTAACAATTCGTGCCATTTGTGGGAATGTTTTCAAGGCTTCCCTCTAAGAAAAAGTTTAATCAAATTAACTAAGCATCTGGTATGGCCGATAAACAAGACAACGATCAGAATGCTCAAGACTTGGTCACCATGGACCAATTCAAGCTAGCCCTCGATAGGCTAGACAACCTAACCCAAAGACTAAACGAGGTGGGGCATCTAACAGGAGGCCGCCTGCATGGTGGTCGCCCCGTTAGGAGCCAAGGGTAGTACAGTGAGTGCTCCACTCATACACCATTGGTTCAACACCCAGTCAGCCTCAGAAAGGCCAACCCCTCAATGTCCAGCAGCAGTAGCCGACAGGCCAGCAGTAGCCGACAGCCCCCGTCGAATACCTCTTGGCTCCCTAGCCAAAGGGATGATCAAAGTAAGGTCCCACGACAACCACCGGGACAACGACCACCATCATCGTCGTGTAGAGAGAAACCAGGACGATGGCGGGTGCTCTGGCCACTACAGTCCTCCTCCAAGGGATGGAAGCTGATGCTATGCCTCTCCTCCATCAATATCAGATCTTCGTGATGTCCAAAATGATCACCGAGCTCACAAGGCTCAGGGTGTGTCGGCATCTGAGCACTCAGGAAACAGAACCAACCCCTTCCATGTGAGAGAGAACCTGGACGAGGCCCAGGCCCCCATCGAAGATAGGCGCCATCCAAGACCAAATCCGGCAAGTGAAGGAGGGCCAAGGTGAAGCCTCCACCAATCAGAAACCCTCGTCTAACTGGATGGACGCCTTCATTGACTCCATCACCTCGAAGCCGCTCCTGCCTCACTTCAAAGCTCCCACTTTGGAGACTTATAATAGGAGCACAAATCCAGACGACCACTTAGAGAGCTTCATGGCACTCATGATCCTCTACGGGTACTCCGATGCCCTAATGTGCCGAGCTTTCCAAGCCACCTTTAAGGGAGCAGCGCACAACTGGTTTTCTACGCTCCCTCTTCGGTCCATCAACTCCTGGGACCGATTTGCCAATCTCTTCCTCACCCACTTCATCAATAGCCGGTAGTGCTAGAAGACCGTCAGATCTCCCATGTTGATCAAGAAGAAGCATTGAGAAAAGTCTTTGACCATACATCGATTGATTCAAGTAGGAAGAGCTCAAAGTAAGAGATCTTGACCACTCGGTCTCCATGCTTGTGGCCATCAATGGCCTTCGGCCCGAACCCCTCAAATGGTCCATCTCCAAGCCTCCACCTAGGAACAAGGCCGAGTTCTTAAAAAAGGCACAAAAATATATCACCATCTAGGAGGCCGAAGTCAGTGAGTGCCTCTAAGAACCATAGGTCGAACTCAACCGAGACGCCCAGGACAAGAAGAGGAAGGACAAGGAAGGTCACGGCTACGATCACACCAACAAGGACAGTGACAAGAAGCAGCTGATCCCTTCCTTTGACAAGTATACACCTTTGAACTCCTCCCAAACACATATACTGATGCAAGTAGGGAAGGAGGATTACAAGAAGTGGCTGGCCAAGTGGAAGAAAAATCCCAAAAAAGGAAACCCCAAGAAGTATTGCAAGTACCACTGCGGCACCAGCCACAATACCGAAGACTGTTATGAAATCTAGGATGAGATTGAGTCTCTCATCCATCGTGGGCACCTGAAAGAGTATGTCAGGAATGACGTCGGCGCCTTTTCCTCGCAGCAACAACAGCAAGTTGGATCCCAGGCCCCTCACCCCTAGTTGGAGTTATTGACGTCATCGCTAGGGGCTCGGCCTCGGCCCGAAAGGCATATGCCCGACAATACAACATCCAAAGCTCGGCACCTGAAAAGCCAAGGCCAGAAGACGTCATCTCTTTCACCAACTACGACCAGCAAGGGATCTCACTGCCCCATGACGACGTGTTGGTGGTGTCCGTTACCATCGCCAACTACGTAGTGAAGAGAGTCCTTGTAGACAATGGCTCCTCAACCGATATCCTGTTCTGCAATGCGTACAAGAAGATGTAGCCGGCATTATACCGGCTACAACCTACAAACATGCCACTAGTAGGATTCTCCAGAGCGATCATCAAACCCAAGGGGAGGATAGCCCTACTAGTCACAAGTAGGGACCGAGCCTTGGCAAGTCACACGGATGACCGAGATCTTGGTCGTAAAGGTAGCATTTTCTTATAATGCCATAATAGGGAGGTTGACCTTTCATGCACTCAAGGCAGCCATCTCGTCTTATCACTTTGCCATGAAGTTCCCTACTAAGCATGGCGTGGGAGTAATCAAGGGGACTGAGAGGATAGTACAAGTCGGGCTGAACCCAACATGAAAGCACCAACATCAGCAAACCCCTTGATCGAAAGCACCTTCAGCCAAGCCTTCGGCCATGCCCCTAGAGAAGATGAGAAGCCTCGGCCTGCCTACGCTCAGCTCTAGAGTAAGAAGACCAGTACCTCACACTTAGAATGCCAAGGACATCTAAATGTATTGTCAATGATGTAAAAATGACTAGTGAAAGTTTTGTCAATAAAGTGTGCAAAGTTCCTTTCACCTCGGCTTGAATCTTTAGTGTAAATGTTCGTGTCTCTTCCAATCACCAGGACCCCTCGGCCGAACGACCGACCGTAGCACATAACCTTAGCCAAGGTTATACACTCGAACTGGCCATCGACCCCTCGGCTGAACGACCAGCCGTACCACACAACCTTAGCCAAGGTTATATGCTTGGACTAGATGTCAGCCCAAGGCATACGACTCTTAGAGGGTTACACGCCTAGTCGCCTTCTCTTCGTCGCCACTTCGGTCTCAATCTTTTATCAACGGTCATGCTCCCCACGAGTCGCCTCAACCTCAACCTCTCGATTGGCCCATTCCTCAGCCAGCTGGCACTTGAGCTATTTGCTCTCCTCATGAAAAGACCATAGCTACTGCAACAGGACCTCCACTTTGTTGCACAGATCGACGACGCAAGAAAATGCCTACAGAAACATGAAGAGAAAACCTTCATCAGTTGGAAAAAGCCAAGTAATAAAGAGCAAACCACTAAGTATGAAAAGGAGTCTTACCTCAACCAGCTTGTCCCGCAAGGTGTCCCAAACCCCCTGGATGAAGACTTAGGGATGAAGAAATACTTCTTCTTCCAGTTGTGGTGCCACAAGCTGAACCCAACTAGATGCTTCCTCAAGGCAAACAGACCCCTAAAGATGTTCAAGGTCATGGATACACCTCGGAGGTAAGCCATCACCAACATAGCAACTATGGTCCTAATCGCGTTCAAAGATAGTGGACTAAGGTAGATATTATAGTAATTGAGGATTTCTGGGATGAGAAGAAGTATAGGAAAACGAAGGCCGAAGTGGAGGTAGTGGTCATGCACAAACACCTCCCCCTCTACTAGCCACCATAGCTGATCACCAACACTTGGGACTCTAACCCTATAGTCCTCAGGTATATGATACATCTCAGAAAGAGCCCTCACTTGATCCTTGTCGAGCTCACTGTCCAGATCGGAGTGTGGGAAATGCATTAGCATCAGGCCTCGGCCTTCGGCCTCAACAAGCTCCTCAGGAGTAAGATCTCTAGCTTCCC